CCGGGCTTGAAAATGGGCTCAAACTCGGCTGAATGATACCCGCACACAACATTTCGTCAACTAATTTTTCAATCTCATTTTTGCAAGTGCCCGTATCTATATGGCCGAACTAACACAGGTTTTGATCCGAACATCAACTCTATTCGGTGGTCTGTTGTACGATGAGGGGCAACCCTCGCGGCTCCTCAAACACCTCCGTATGCTGCCTGAGTACATCCTCCACTGCCCCAGTGGCTTGTTGCTTGCACAGGTCATCTACAACAGTGACTTGCTGCCCACCCATGTCATCTACTGCTATAGGGACTGCCACATGAAGTCTGGTAGTTTTGTAGATTAGAAGTACCGCCCACAACTCCACGTCAGTGGTCTTCAGAAGGGTATGAAGGCTGACCATGTTCCTGCTCATCCCGGGACCACCGCGTAACTTTATGCGCTTGCCCCCCACCTCGAAGTTCATGGTTAATTTCTTCCAATTTGTCCGGACTTCTCCCAATGTGGCCAACCAATCCACGCCCAGAATGATATCCACCCCCACCAAAGCAAACACATAACAATCTGCGTTGATAGCACACCCGACAATGCGATACGAAGTTGTCTACACACCCCTTCTGACTCCTGTCTATGCGCATCTCCCAACTGCACCCCAGATGTGCCTGTCCTGTCCAGGTTCAATCGCAAAAGGGAGACCAGGGACGAAGAAATAAAGTTGTGGCTTGCGCCACTGTCTATCAGAATTGTTACAGTGCAACCCGCAACCACCCCTTGAAGTCTCATCGTTCTAGGGCTGAAAATTCCAGCCATAGAATAGACTGGAAAATCTCCTTCATCTCCCTCTGATCCATCTCGATCCTATGGAACATCTTCCTGTCCGGTTATCTCACAATAGTCATGTTGTTGGAGGTCCAACTCATCGTCCTCCTCTGCTAACAACACTCATAACTGCTTTAACGGACAGTCTTGCCCTAGGGTGAATGGTTTCTTGCATTTAAAGCACAATCTCTTTGCCCGCAATTCTTCTAACACTCTTGGCGGAAGCCGAGTGAACTTGGAACGTGCCGTAGAGTGCCCAGACAGCCTGGATCGTGTCCCCGTGACCTGTCCAGGAGCCTTAAGCCAACTATTAATCGAGCCCCTCATGCTGCCACCACTTGCGGCCGTGTTGCTACCCCACTTGGTCGAGAAATCCCCGAACGTGTCCCTGCATTGTTGTATGACTGAATCCCTCGTCCTCCATTCTGAAAGGACAGATTGTCCTCTACGTCTCTGGCTAAATCCATGGATGTCTCCAAGCTATTCGGGCGCAGTAACCGTAACAAACCCCGAATCGGCCCCTTTAGTCTATTCATAAAATACCTGAGGTAATGATCGTCAAACAACCCTGAGACCTGACTCGCTAACTGGACGAAAATCGAGATGTACTCCTCCACCGTCCCTGTCTGCTTGACCCCGGACAATCGCTCGAAACGACTACCCTTAAACCGGGAGTCAAATCTCACCACCAGCCCCTGCATGAACTCTTCCCACGCCATGCTAGGCTTCCGCGTCTTTAACTAGGTTACCCAGTACAAGGCTGCCCCTTCCATTGCAACCACAACTGCTGCTACCTTCCTTTCTGGCGGAGTACAATTCAATTCGAACTGCTGCTCGGCCCTAGCGATCAAACCGACGGGATCCTCTCCGTCAAGCAAAGGTAGCGTCATGTCTTGTGCGCCACACAGCCTTGGATCAAACGAGGTTGCCGTCGTCTCGTTCTGCGAAGTCACCACTGAAGTCTTCCCTCCAGCCGTCGATTGCGCGAACGCCGTCATGAGCACAGCCAAGGAGGCTACGATCTTAGCCAGTTGCGCACTCTGCGCATCCAATTTCCGATTCATCGAGATCTGTTCGGCCTCCACCTCCGTCAAACGCTCGATATTAGATCTAGTCATTCCGGTAGAAATGGGATCCGACATGTCGGACCAACTGATGAAAGCAGAAAATCAAAACTTCAATATTATTGAGTATTGCTCACTAAACCCTAATTAGGATATAAATACCCTAATTAAAGGATAACATAATAATAATTAAAAGATACTCCCTAGGCCCAACAAAGAAACAACAGAATAATTAAAAGATACTCACCAGGCCCAACAAAGAAACAACAGAATTAATTATAAATTAAAAGTCTATTATAAAATAAACCCAGCCCACGAAGGTGGGTTCAAGCCCGTCCCCGCCTTCGGTAGACCAGCAGTGGTCTCGGCCTCACCTCTTCCAAGTCAAGCTGCCGCTCCCTATCACGAAACCACAAAGTGAAATGTAAATCAGAAAAACGAGAAAAGACTTTAAAATTGTAAATTAGGACATAGTCCGGACTCCGGAGTAGATGCTCTATTTTCATATTTTCAATAGTAAATTTAAAAGGGAAAACAATAAAAACACAAGAAAAATAAGAAATGGAAACACCAAAACAAATTCTTCAAAAACATGAGATAATGAAAACAAAGGAGGGGAGGACATAGCTGGAAATGCGATATGACTGAATTTGCTGCTGACAGAAGTCTAGAGGGATAGGAAATTATTTCTATTATTAATACCAATTTTTATATGAGTTTGTTATGAATACTAGTTTTATTATATCAATTTGTTATAATAAATGGATTTATAGTGTAGGAATGAACACAATGGATTTATAATGTAGGATTTACCGTGTCTCTTACATGATTTATAAATGTAGGAACACTCTTAATCAATGGAAGAAACACAAGGATTCTCATTGATACCGGGGCGCAACGTTGATTTGTGAGTGAAGCGTTCCCCGAAGGTCTTGACGTACCATTGACACCGATGACGCAGACCTTGTTAGTCTCCACACCGCTAGGAGACGACGTGGAAAGAAATCATTATTATCCATCATGTGAGGTAGAAGTGACGGGTCAACCTTTGACTTGTGATTTCGTACCCCTAAGTATGTTGGAATTCAATGCAATCCTAGGGATGGATTGGCTTGAGAAGCATCATGCTCGAGTTGATTGTTACACCAAAGTTTTGGAACTCGAGGATGATGAGGGAAACGCTTTATGTTTCGAAGGAGATTGGAGAAGATCTCTTGGTTGTATCATATCCATGATGAGGGCACGGAAGATGATGAAGAAAGGATGCCATGCGTACCTTGCTTACGTGGTGGATAAGACAAAGAAGGAATTTGACATCAATGACGTGCGTGTCGTGTGTAAGTATCTGGACGTCTTCCCCAAAGACTTACCGGTGATTCCATCCGACAGAGAGATTGAATTTGTGATTGATGTGGAGCCGGGGACCAAACCCATTTCGATTCCTCCTTATCGAATGGCACCGACGGAACTTCAAGAGTTGAAGGTCCAATTACAAGAACTATTGGACAACAGGTTCATTAGACCTAATCAATCACCATGGGGAGCACCAGTACTCTTCGTGAAGAAGAAAGATGGTAAATTAAAAATGTGCATTGACTACCGACAGTTGAACAAGGTCACAATCAAGAATAGGTATCCCTTATTGAGGATTGATGACTTGTTTGATCAACTTCAAGGGGCGATGGTGTTCTAAAAGATTGATTTGAGGTCAGGATACCATCAGTTGAAGATCAAGGAGAGTGACATACCTAAGAGTGCATTTCGCACTAAGTACGATCACTATGAGTTTCTTGTGATGTCATTTGGTTTAACTAATGCATCGGCGGCATTCATGTACCTGATTAACCGTGTGTTTAGTGAGTACTTAGATCTGTTTGTAATTGTATTCATTGATGACATCTTGATTTACTTGAAAAGTGAAGAGGAACATGAGCATCACCTGAGGCTTGTGCTTGAAAACTAAGAGAGAAGCAACTCTTTGCCAAGTTCTCTAAATGTAAGTTTTGGCTTAGAGATTGGCTTCCTCGGACACGTCATACCGGGATCTGGCATTGCGATGGACAATGCAAAGATAGAAGCTATCATGGATTGGGAACGACCAAAGAATGTGAAGGAGATACATAATTTTCTTGGTTTAGCGGGGTACTATCATAAATTTGTTGAGAAATTCTACGTATTGGCGTCGCCACTTACGAAACTCACGAAGAAAGAGGTTAAGTTCATATGGGACGACAAGTGTGAGAAAGAGTTTCTTGAGCTAAAAGAACGACTCATCGAGGCACTAGTTCTTGCCCTACCCATACAAGAGATAAGGTATGATATCTATAGTGATGCTAGCATCCATGGACGTAAATGTGTACTGATGCAAAATGGTAAAGTGATTGCCTATGCATCTAGGCAATTGAGGAAATATGAGGTGAACTACCATACCCATGACCTAGAGTTGGGGGGCGGTAGTGTTTACACTAAAGATGTGGACGCATTATCTCTACGAGGAGACATGTCACATCTACACCGATCATAAGAGTTTAAAGTATGTATTCACTCAAAGTTGAATATGAGGCAAAGGAGATGGATGGAGTTGATCAAGGACAATGACTTGATCATCGATTACCATCACGGTAAGGCTAATGTAGTAGCCGATGCACTGAGCAGATAGAGTACGTCGGGGATGTTACTCACATGTCTACAAGCATTGAGGGTGCGCGTGGAAGTATACACGAGCGGGGCTCTCATAGCGAGATTCAAGGTTAGGCCTACCTTGCTAGATGAGGTCAGCAGATGTCAAGGCAGGGGCGGAGCCAGAGCACTGGACCGGACTGGACCGGTACAAAAAATATTTTTGAAAAAAAATTACAAAGAATTTTTTACACTAAAATTTGGACATTTTTTAAATTTAGACTGGGCCAGGGCCAGAGTTGACCCTCCCCTAGGTCAGAGCATTGACAAAGAATGTCAGAAGATCCTTGAATGGATCCTTACGGGGCCCATTGAGGATTTTCGGATATGAGAGATCGTGTATTTTATTGTTAGAGATTGTGTATGTTTATTGTTAGAGATCGTGTATTTTATTATTAGAGATTGATGGGGAGCAAAACATTTTCTTATAATCTAAATCAAAACATTAGTAAAGTCACTTCCAAACCTAATATAAATAAATCAAATAAGGATTGATGGGGAGCATCTGTGACTACTGAGGCAAGCTCGTCCTGCAAAATGCTCTATGGCCGAGACTTCTTGGGGCGAGTGGTACTTGGGAGAGAGGTGCTGGCACCAAACCTCATATGAGGTCAGTTTTCTTGTCCTACACCTCAGCCCACCCGCCACCCCCTCTGTGATATCACCGATATCCATTCTCCGATCCCACACCTGCAGAGATTTTGTACCAGCTTCCGTGGATACGACGTCAGCCTCTACATGGCCAAATAGATAAACAGATCTCACCGACTATTGAATCGCGTTCGTCGATCTGCAACCGAAATACTCAAAGTACCGAAAATCTTCCATTGGCTCAGTAGCGGAATCTCCAGGTAGGTAGGTTTTTGTTTGAATTTATTCGTTAAATGCATGTTTATGTTTCATACCAATGTATCCTAAAACTCAAAGGTCTGGTACTGATTTCACTTTCCATTCTTGTTTGATGATATCAAGCGACGATTCATACTAACTCACAAATACTTTGACGGCCATTAAAGTTAAGCTTTTGTTTTTTTAAGAAAATGTTTCTTGTTTTTTCTAATATGTATGAAAATCGTTAGATTAAAAGAGATTTCATTTATTCTTAATTGCTGTAATAACAATTTTGGGTAACCATCAGTCTAAGCAAAAACCAATTAAAAGAGAAGTAAAATATCTACGGATCCTAATGCACTGATATCATGCTATTAATATTATTAGCCTATTATAGTTATTTTTATGAAGTACTAAATAATTAAATAGTATCTGAACACTATCCAAATGTCATAGTATTGGTATTCAGAAACTATTCGAATTGAAAAACATATCAGTATTCGTGTTTATATTCTATTTATTCGAATTCAAATCACAAATCGAATCAAAATTATTCGATTCACTTACAACCGTATGCACGTATATTCGTTCTTTATAATAAAAATAGAATGATCTTTTTAAAATCAATCGCCAGCCTTTATGCAGTAGACTCTGTTCTGCTCGCCAGCTATATTATTGAATGTAAGTGATTTTTTTTTTCAGTTTTTGATTAATGAATTGTTATGAAAAATTACTGAATTAGGGCTTAACCGCTTAACTAGCGAATGTGCAGTTTTTTAAAGAATCAAAACAAAAAGTATCACGATTATGGATTTATTCACTTGAGACGCAACTTCACGTTCTTATGGTATGCCATTTTTGGTGGTAACTTGCTTGGCTAGAATTTTTTTCTATCTATATTAATAATTAATTGATTAATAGATTCCTCATAATAAATTTAATTGAACCATTTTTTTGTGATTATATGAAGAACGGAAAGAGAGGAGATATGAACATATATTTTGCATTGGAAACATACGAAAGTACGAAACATATGCATTTCTTATCAACCTGGCTATGTTCTCATGTTTTTCCCCATCACTCCCTAGACATCTTTGTCTCGCTTTTGCTGCTCACGTCTAGTTATATCCATCTTCTATGGTGTTTTATAACAGTGTAACAATTGAAGTTGACTAAATGACTGACAATACTAAAGAAGCAGATTCCCAGGATCCTACCCTCAAGGGAAACATACTCCCAGAAAATGAAAATGAAATATCAGTTGACTCTTTATCCCGAAAGGTCCAAGAATCGCTCTCTCTTGCTAAAAGACATAAGTTCTGGGAAACCCAACCCGTGGGCCAGTTCAAGGACCTTGCCGATACAAGCCTGAATGATGGTCCAATTGAGCCTCCAACTCCACTGTCCGAGGTAAAACAAGAGCCTTACAATCTTCCTGCTCAGTATGAGTGGATTACTTGTGACATGGACTGTGAAGATATGTGCATGGAGGTTTACAATCTCCTCACACATAATTACGTAGAGGATGATGAAAACATGTTCAGGTTCAACTATTCCAAGGAGTTTCTTGGGTGGGCTCTTCGTCCTCCGGGCTATTACAGAAGTTGGCACATAGGGGTCCAGGCCAAGAGTTCAAAAAAGCTGGTCGCTTTTATCACCGGGATACCTGCAAAGATACGCGTCCATGACTCCATCGTGAACATGGCTGAGGTCAATTTTCTATGTGTTCATAAGAAGCTAAGATCGAAACGTCTTGCTCCTGTCATGATCAAAGAAGTCACAAGGAGAGTTCACCTGAAGAATGTATGGCAAGCAGCTTATACAGCTGGAGTAGTCCTTCCCACACCCATAACAACATGCCAATATTGGCATAGGTCATTGAATCCTAAGAAACTTATCGATGTTGGGTTTTCAAGACTTGGTGCTAGGATGACAATGAGCCGGACTATAAAGCTGTACAAGTTACCTGACCAGACATCCACCCGCGGGTTCAGGAAAATGGAGCCGCATGATGTTCCTGCTGTAACCCGTCTGCTAAGACACTACTTGAATCAGTTTGTCGTTGCACCCGAATTTGATGAAAATGATGTCGAGCATTGGCTTCTTCCAAAGGAGGGTGTCGTTGATAGCTATCTTGTTGAGAGCCCAGAGACACATGAAATAACTGATTTCTGTAGCTTTTATACTCTTCCTTCATCAATACTCGGGAGTCAGAATTACTCCACCCTAAAGGCTGCTTATTCTTATTACAACGTGTCGACAAAGACACCGTTGGTTCAGTTGATCAATGATGCTCTTATTGTGGCAAAGCAAAAGGATTTTGATGTTTTTAATACTTTGGACGTTATGCACAATGAAAGCTTCTTGAAGGAACTGAAGTTTGGTCCTGGGGACGGAAAACTTCACTACTATCTGTACAACTATCGGGTAAGGCACGTTTTGAGGCCATCGGAACTCGGGCTTGTGCTCTTGTAGTTTGCAAAACAACTTGGATCTGCCAGAGCCTGAGGTTGTTTTTTGGTAAGTCTGCTCATTTGTGTGCTTTTTTAAAAGACAGCATTATTTATCCTTTTTATATTTGGGGTTTTTGAGTGAGGTCGGCTGTCGATGGATAGACAAACTTTGCAACATAACTTTTGTGACTGATGAACTATTTAATTGCTCGACTATTGGCAATTTCCATGAGACTCATCATGCTACTTGTCTAATGCACATTGTTGAGGTTGTCAAACAATTGTACCTTAACCACCTTTCTGTCCAATTGTTGTCTCAACATCATCATGGTATCTGTTTTTATTGCCCCCACCCCTAGCAGTTAGCTGTGTGCTAACTGCTTGTTTTGGTTCAAGAGAGAACAAGTGGTGTTCTTTATCTCGTTAAACATGATGACCTCTAATCATTTGTGAAGCCTAATGTAGCTAGAAAGTAATGAATACTTTACAGACTCGAGTAACTTGCAGCTGTAATCTGGATTTTTTTTTACGTTTACAACAGTATTTTAATTGCATGATTTTGACATGGTTGGTACGGCTATACTACTTTATCCTTTGAAGTTGGTGACATTAATGATTAATCTTAAAATTGATTTTTTTTAAAATAAAAATATACTTCAAGTAATTTTTGCTTGTAAGCCGAATACTACCCTATATATTCATAGGGAGGGATAGAGACCAGGTGAGTATAATACACGATGCACTGGGAGAGCATTAAACCTAGTTTTGACATGTAGAATGTTGTCCAAGTCTTTGTTGTTATCATAGATGGACTGGTCCATTACCATTAGATTGTCAAGACTCACAACTGCGAATTTGTTCGTGGGATTCAAACTATTGCTGATAATTTAGCCGCCATCAATGCGTCGGTCTCCAATGCCGATCTCATTGAATATACACTTTTAGAATTGCGACCGGGTTATGAGTCACTAGATGTTCCTATTTTGGGAAAAAAGCTGCTATGTTTGCTCATATACTTCCCCGTCTCAATTTGTTATGCATAGTCAACATTTTTTGGTCAACCAATAATAAAAGTCAATCCTCCCTATGCATAATTAATTCAATTTTTAATAATTAAAATTTACATACTCATAAACTACATCAAAATCTCTTCAAAGTTGTAAACTTCAAATTAGAATATAATTAGAAATTGACATCCTAATTAAGTAAACAAAATGAAATTGTTTGACCAAGAAAAGTCAAAATTGCAAATCAATTTGGGACGGAGGTAGTATTAAGATAAATCTCCCAAGTCCCAATGAAACATTAATAAACTTCAATTTAGAAATGTATTTATATATTTTTGATACTGTAAACGATAATATCTCTTAAATATAGAAATTATCTTTTGTATTAAAACAGAATATACTTTCCTTGTATTTGTTTATATTCTTTCCTTATTTTGTAAACCTATTGTATTATAAAATCTTAATGAATCAAGGCTACAATGTGAGTCGATTGAATTAGTCTTACATGGTATCAGAGCAATGCCCTTGGACCATGCTCTAAAACGTAGAGACCTTAATCAACTCGACCCTGAGCTAGAATGGCCTTGGTAAGACAATGCTGGATAGCAAAAAAAAAAAGAATCAGAGAATAAGACATCAACGGGTTGATCTGCAGCTAATTTACTAATGGAGAGCAAGTTTTTTGTGAGATGAGGAACAACAAGGACGTCAGAAAGCTTTATATTATTTGGAAGACAGGATTGACCAACATTCTAGTTGTGAATCTGAATATCGTGCTATGGCAAATGCTGTTGCTGAGATTGTCTGGGTTACTCATCTTCTTAGAGAACTTCATATCCTGCCTCCTGATCGACCTACTCTTCTATGTGACAATCAAAGTGCGATCTTTCTCGGTCAGAATCCGGTGTCTCAGAAACGAGCTAAACACATTGACATTGACTATCATTTTGTTCGTGAACTTGTTTCCTCCGGAAAGCTCTATACTCGTTTTTACCTACCAAGCTTCAACTGGCGGACATTTTCACCAAAAGTCTTTCACGGCCGCTGTTCGAGACATTTCGTTCCAAACTACGTGTTGGTCCACCGCCAATTCGCTTGAGAGGGGTGTAAACGATAATATCTCTTAAAAACAGAATATACTTTCCTTGTCTTTGTTTATATTCTTTCCTTATTTTGTAAACCTATTGTATTATAAAATCTTAATGAATCAAGGCTAGACTATGAGCCGATTGAATCAGTCTTACAGATACAACTCAAAAAGAAAAGTGTAAGAGCCTGTTTACTAACAGAGATATTTTCCTATTTTCTACTTCTTTTTTTCGTTCTCCAATTTTCTGTTTTTATTTTTCAATTTTTCTATCTCCAGTTTTCTGTTTCTGTTTTCTAGTTTTCCATTTTCAAATCCGAAAACATGTTCACTTCAAGTTTACTTCAAAAGGTTTAAAACACCGTTTAACATTAAAATGTCCAAAATAACCCTATACATATATAGATACACAAACATTCATGAACACAAATATATAATATAATATGTGGGGCCGATCACCTCGTACGTGTACCCATACTCCTAACACTACCATGTCCCTATACCTCGTACCCCCACCCTACACCCTACACCCAATTCCACACCATTGACCCCTACCCCTACCATTACTACGATCTTACACTCTACCCATACTCCCCTAAAACCCTTCATACCCACCCATACATACTCGTAAGGGTCGGGGTAGGGAAGGAAGGTATGAGTGGGGGTGGGGTAGTAAGGTCTAGGGGTACGAGTTGGGTGGGGTAGTGGGTGGGTTAGGGTGGGGGTAGTGAGTGGGGTTGGGGTAAGGTAAGGGTAGGGGTAGGGGTAGGGTAGGGAGTTGGGAAAGGATGGTGGTAGGGTGGGGCCGAGGTAGGGGAAGGGGTAGGGTGGGGGTAGGATGGCAGTAGGGTGGGTGGGAGTAGGATGGCAGTAGGGTGGGTGGGGGGGTAGGATGGCAGTAGGGTGTGTTGGGGGTAGCGGTAGGGTGGGGCCGAGGTAGGGGGCATGTGGGAAAAGGGTAAGGTAGGGGTAAGGGGTAATATACGAGGTGGGAATAGGGTAGGGTGGGTCGGGGTGGGACTGATGTAGGGCCATGTGGTAGAGGGTGGGGGTAGGGTCATTGTAGGGAAAAGGGGTATGCGGGTTGGGGTTGGGGGTTGGGTGGGTAGGGTAGGGTAGGGGTAAGGGGTAAGGTATGAAGATGAAGATACTAGAATGCAATCGACATCGGAGCGGGACCGGACCCACCACGAGGTCCACGAGGTGTAAGTATGCAAATTCATTGCAGTGGCCTGTAGCATCTGCGTTTTCCAAATTTGGAAAACTAGTAAAAGTCGCTTCTCCAAATCATTAAGGAAAAGAGAGACATGTCTCATTTTTTTCATTTTGGAAAACGGTTTGGTAAACATGTTTTTGCTATTTTCCTTTCTCTAGTTTTCCAGCAATTTTCTTTGGTAAACACGTTTCCTGTTTTCTGTTTTCTAGTTTTCCAGTTTTCTGGAAAACTGGAAAATATCTCTGTTAGTAAACAGGCCCTAAGCATCTTACTCCCTCTGTCCCATTTTAGTTAGCCAAACTTGACTTTTTAAGTCAATGGTGTCTAACTTTGATCGATTATATGTTTATATAGAGAAAGTATTAATAACATGCAAATGATATGAAAATGTTCTTTGTTAAAAATATTATCATAAAAGTATAAAAATATTAAATTTTGCATAAATATATTAGTTACATAATTGGTCAAAGTTTAGGGTAGGGTAGGGGTAAGGGGTAAGGTATGAATATGAAGATACTAGAATGGAATCGACATCGGAGCGGGACCGGACCCACCACGAGGTGTAAGTATGCAAATTCATTGCAGTGGCCTGTAGCATCTGTGTTTTCCAAATTTGGAAAACTAGTAAAAGCCACTTCTCCAAAACATTAAGAAAAAGAGAGACATGTCTCATTTTTTCGTTTTGGAAAACGGTTTGGTAAACGTGTTTTTGCTATTTTCCTTTCTCTAGTTTTCCAGCAATTTTCTTTGGTAAACACGTTTCCTGTTTTCTGTTTTCTAGTTTTCCAGTTTTCTGGAAAAATGGAAAATATCTCTGTTAGTAAACAGGCCCTAAGCCCCTAAGTATCTTACTCCCTCCGTCCCATTTTAGTTAGCCAAATTTGACTTTTTAAGTCAATGGTGTCTAACTTTGACCGATTATATGTTTATATAGAGAAAGTATTAATAACATGCAAATGATATGAAAATGTTCTTTGTTAAAAATATTATCATAAAAGTATAAAATTATTAAATTTTGCATAAATATATTAGTTACATAATTGGTCAAAGTTTACCACCTTTGATCGGAAAAGTCAAAGATGGCTAAGTAAATTGGGACGGAGGTAATATAAAATAGGGAAAAGGGTCAAATAAGCCCTCGAACTAACTTAAAAAGTGCAAATCACCCCTTATATAAGAAGCTGTGTCCGGCCGTCGCCGTTTGGGGCGGTTCTTGGTGGAATTTTTTGATGAAATGTTTTGAGCATCTTTTTCATTAAGTCTAGTTTACGCATACCAAATTTCAGCTAAAAATTCAATTCGGAATGGAGTCAAATGAATTTTTGAAGATAACTGCGCAATTAAACAACGCAATACCAAACCTTATAATGTCTATAAACATAACTCACACATATGAAAAATGAAATCTCCGTTTTTTCAAACTTAAATCGAATTAAACAAACTTAATGTCTTTAAAAAAATTAAAACAAATAAAAGGGACAAGAAATTTATTATAGAAAAAGGTGTATGAACATGAAAACTATTTTACACAAAAAGTGTATAAATGTATATAGAATACAAACAAACAAAAATCAGTAGTAATTTAAGATGAAGAAAAAAGTAAAAAAAAAAACAGTGTATGATTATGAAATGTAATATACTTATTTTATTTGGGTTAATAAATATTTTTTATAAATTGGTAACAAAAAGAAGTTAATTAGATGTAATTAAATTAGTTAAAGATAAAGATAAGTAAAAATTAACAGGATAATTAAATGTAACTCGCGCATAATTAGATGAAACTCATGCATAAAAAGATGTAAGTCGTGTTCAAGAAGATGTAACTTCATATACTATAAAATGTAATTCCAGAAATTGTTTTGAAACATAATTCACATATGAAAATGTAAACCACACATATGAAAATGTAATCCCATATTTTATCAAATGCAAATCAAAATGAACAAATTTAATGTCTTAAGAAGACTAAAAAACATATAAAAGAGATAAGAAATACTACTATATTATAGGAAAAAGTGTATGAATATGAAAAAAATATTACAAAAAAAGTGTATAAAAAATATTACATAAAAAATAATTTGGTTGTAATTTCAATTGAAGGAAAAAAGTATATGAATAAGAATTAAGACAGAAAAAAAAGTAATTAATTTATTTTGAAATGATGAAAGTTTGATCACAAAATTTTACTCCGTAATAC